TCACACAGCTAGTTAGTGGCAGAGTCAGGACTAGAATGCAGCTATCCAGCCAGACAGCTTCATCCTCCTTTCAGCCTCTTCCTAAGGCCAGATCACACAGAGGGGAAACAAGAAGGGCTCCATTTAGAATGATGTCCTCAATCTTGAACCCTCTTTCTCCACACACTCATAAAACAACAAATTTAAGTGCAGCTGGACACAGGAAGCCAATGGGGCTAGACACCCAGGGTCAACCAACAGAAGCAAAAACTGCCTCTGTCTGGAGCAAAATTATTAAAGAAGGTCACAAGCTAAAGATCAAGAATAACACCATATTGTCAGGGACAGCTGGAACGGGACACTACAACCCAAAGGTCAGAACTAACTGGTAGTGGTGAACACCTGACTCTATCTCTCCAAAGCTGTAGTCACAGCAAGGAGATGGGGCCAGGGAGTCTATCGCTGTGCTTTATTCTTCAAAATATTTTTAGTTTGACCAAACTCCACTATTGTTTTGATTCGTTTTATTTTGAGACCCCGGCATATCTATATTTCATGTTGCAACCTTCACAATAAGGGAAGTTTACTTCATTCATATCTGATGCCCACGAAAGCTAAATTTCAGTCATTTCCTAGTTTTAAAAATGGGTGTGTTTTTAAAACATCTATAGTTGAGCCAAGAAACCAAGTAGGATATCAGTTCAGAACTTGTGAACATTAAAAGGTTCATATTCTATAAACTCTTGATTAATAGTTTCATTGACTTTTTTTCAAATAAACATGAAGGATGCACACATGCATAATAACAATTAATAGATCTGAAGAACACCAGATTGGGGTCTTAACCCCACTCCTGGGAAGGGCCCCCACGTTTGGGTGAGCTCCCCAATGACCTCGGATTTCCCCAGCCATCATGGAGGAGGGGAGTCCTCCAATAGTCCAAAAAGTGGTGAGGGGAGAGAAGAAAAAGAGAAAAAGGGAGAAAAACATATGCACACTAAAGTAAAAAAAAAAAAATACATATATCCCCCCTTTAAAAAAATGAGCATTTAAGCTGCTTGTCAGACGGCTTCCTGACAAAGCCACTAGAGTATATTCGCAGGTATTTGCATAAATGCTGCCAGTGAGTTCACCGTAGCTGCTCGCGCTAATGGTACATAAAGTAATTTAGTCACTTCGCCCCGCATTCTGTGTCAGAATGGTGAGTGCCGGCACTTTGCCTTGTTGCATGCTCGATCATTGGATAACAACAAAGTGTTGGTGCATGCAAGCCGGCGGGGTTTCCTCTCTCGAGCACCACCAGGGCACCGCCTTTTGCCACAGGGGGAAGAAACAGAGAAACCGATACCACAATTGGCGTTCAATTCAAGCAAACACATCGCAAAGCTCAGGACAACAGCAAGGTCTACAACGACACTCCCCAAGCCCTTTGAGGCTTTCCAGCCCCATGAATTTGCCCAGAGGACTGTAGGACAAGCCAGGAACACAAGGCAGCGTTGTACATGTTTGTGGGAGGTAACAGTGCAGCTGCCTTGGTCGCAAGCCTATGCTTTTCAAAAAGTGCAACCCCGAGAGCAGTTACATTTTGAGGTCATCTCTCTCCACAACTGTACATTGTCCATAAAGCTATTGCTTAAAGAAGAAACTTCACTAGCCTAAATGCTCCCATAAATATCCAGCCAAAGAAAATCTCGGTATTTATGAATGAAGCAAAAGTAGAGGGAGAGCAATTACCATGAGCTACGGCATGCCAGGATTCACCCTCTTTGGACCATGCACGATTCTGTGCAGTAAATTTGCCTTTGTCAACTCTCACAGTTGGAATGCAGGGACATTTATCTGAGCACAAGGGTTTGTGGGTCCATGGGTCACACAAGGAAGACTACGCATGGATGTAAACCATGGTCTGTTTCTACTTATATGCAGAAGGATGAGCCAGGAAAGGAACTTTCCTCTAACTGTCTGATAAGCAGGATATAAATAGAGATGTGCAGAGTAGCTCAAAATAATTCAGGCTACCTGGAAATGAGATGGTAAAAAAGTCCAGAATAGGGAAAGCAAAGGTTCTTATGGATCTCATGAGGAGAAAATGCTTTGCAGTCTCACTATGCAGTAGCTGGTTTTGGCGGGGGTGGCGTGTGGTGGGGGGTGGGGGTGGGCAGAGAGGCGGAAGTGCGATTCAGGTCTTAAACAGGCATTTTTAAACAGAACTTTTCCAATGGCAAGATAAAGTATTACCCCCAACTCAACACGAGTTAGCACGTTGGTCCACTCCCACACATTACCAATGAAAGAGTTCAATAGTCACCCTTTGCTGCGTAGGTATTTATGGTATCAGCCTGAATGTCTAAGTGAGTGGGTGGTTATGTGTGGTTGATTCACTCACTCTGCAGAGAAGCGGATTTCTATGTCGTTGTCGTTACTAAGGATCTGGATGTGTCTACCCTTTCATTCCACTGGCGCGCAGCGAAGTAAGGCTTTGGTGACGGTAAAGCCCCCTCGCTTAAGGAAATGGGACCTATCCACGTCCCCAGGGATGGCTAACCAAACCATTTACACCTAGTGAAACGGCACCATTTTCTTGAATAATATCTTAATAATAACATGGCCATTTGTGGACTGGTAAACTGGAGCAGAGGAATAAAATGCTGTCTTTAAAACTTACAAGAATAGGATATCCCAACTGAAATATTAATGTGAACTCTCCCAGGAACGAGAACATCTGAGCTGGAAGGAAGCTTAGAGACGTCTGGATCCAAAGGTCTCCGATTGTTAGCCTGTGGCTGCATTCTTCCTAAGTGATTTTTTCCCCCTTTCCTCTCTTCAGTGTTTAAAAATTTTGTAATTAGTTACCAACAGTTAAAACTTTGGAGAGTTTTAATTCTTGGCAAACCGGAACATCCGCCCCCCCCCCCCCCCCCGGGCTCTCATTCCCCTTAGCGACAACAGACTGGGCTGGGGGCTCAGCAGAGCGTGTACCTGCCTGTCTTCGGGCCTCCACCCAACCACTTCCCTCATTTACATTACCTGCCCCCACCCAAAGCACAGATATTTTTTCACCCCACCGCAGATCCTCACCTTCCTTTTACCAAGAAGAAAACCAAGTATCCCGAAAGCTAAGGTGACTTGTCCACAGCCATACAGAGGCCAGAGTGACATTAAGAAGAGATATGAATGGTTCCTGGTACCTGTTTGAGACTCCTCCACCTCACACTGCAAAATAAGGTCACTGACCTCCATCCCTAGAGGCACCCTTTCTAACAGGCTGTCTTTTGTTTGCCTTAGCAATTTTTTTTGTTGTTGGAGGGATGATTTGCATGGTGTCATGAGCTCTCTCACTGGCTTCCCAAGAGCAGAAATGGGAGCTGGGTGTGGCCTGCGCTTGGAGCACATTTTGAAACTGTGAACCCATGACTCACAGATTTCAAACTGACAGTCAAGGCTGTCCCCAAACAGAGCAGTGTCGTTTGCAGCTAACCAGCCACAGTCAGCAACATAACTTCAGTGCTTAAGCACAATGCTCTCCACATTGTGCCCACTGAGGATTTCCCTATTTTGTCCCTTCTTCCTGCCACCTAAACACCTCTAGCTATACAATGCCTTAAGTGACTCCGAGGGTATTAAAAAGGCAACATTGCTGCAAAGTGAGGATCAGAATAATTTTAAGTACAGAAATGGAACTAGGAATGTAATCATGAGCAGGTGTTTCAAATGGCCTCCTGCAAAAAGTAATATCCATCCATCTCAGCACTAATGAAACCATAAAGAAGCGGCTTTTGAAAGATGATGGTTTACTTTAAAAAGACTGTAAAACTGGATGTGGTGAAGAATCCCTTCTAAGAGTGTTACATCTGGCTAATTAATAAAAAGTACAGTTTGTGCATTCCTGAAGCACAGGGGGGAAAAAACAGGCAGAAATGATGATAGCAGTGTGTTTATTAAATTGTGATGTTGGCAGGGAAGGGAGTTTTTTACCCTATGAATTATATCATGGACAGCTCGTGGCCCATGGAAAAATCAGGTGATAATTTGTAGAGTAGTGTTCTCAAAAGAATCCTGCTGATCTAGCAAACTGGACAGTGAAGTGAGGGAAACGGGTTAAGAGTTTGATTTGAAGAGATTGGAGAAAATCTAGTATGGTGATTAGTACCCAGTGGAGTCCCAGTAGCTGATTCTCAGGTGGGTGAACGGATGGATGGACAGACAGAGAGAAGGGTGGATACATTACATACACACGCAGCACAGAAAAATTCAGACTTGTACCCAACCTAGCCCATGGTTCTTCTGAGTGGCATTCACTTTCCTTGCTTCAAATTTTTATCCGGTTTCCTCTAGTCCTCTCGAAGGTACCACTGATTAACCATAATTCTTAAGACAAATATGATTTCTTCCCAGCAAAGTCTACCCATAGAGAGAAGACTCTATCATGTGGTAATGAGGTAAGAGGCAACAGGGGGACGTTTGTTTGGGCTACATATTCAGAGAGCACTTCCAACCTAGACTTTGAACCTGATCTCCAAATGAAGTTCAACAGGTAGTCACAGAAATGCACTGGCAGTATTGCGAAGAGGATGGGGTCATTCTAAAACCTTAATGGTCAAATACAAACCCTTAAAATTTATCACAATTTTTGTGATACAAAATTGTGTGGCCTTTCCTTATTTTTTTCCCTAGGGATTGGCTTTTCCTTCCTTTGTAGTCAAGTGGGAGCTTAGAAGACAGCGATGGTCCAGGTCTCCGTCTCTCTCTCAACCTGAAGGAAGGCGATGTTAGCCATTGCCAGGGAAGAGAGTGGTGCAACAAGAAAAGGGTGGGCCTCAAAGGTATTTTCCTGTCTTTAAAGACTCAGCATCATATTTTGAAGAGTAAAAAAAAAAAAAAAAAAAACCCTGGGGGATCAATCTCGTTCAAAAGGACATTTGAAATATGAAACAGTAGAAAATGTGGCGGAGCGGAAGAAAGAAACCAAATAAATTCACAGTTAAAGTAGCAATGCCAACCAATGAAAATGATTCGCCTACCATGTTCCAGATAAGAGGGCGTACCTTCCGAGGGGTCAAGCCTCCGAGCCCTCCGCCCGTGCTTGGAGTTATTATGGACAAACATGTTATCAGAGACTGCCAGGACATGGCCGTCCACGTTGACAGTCGTAGACACCACGACCTGGAGACATGAGAGAGAAATGAATGAACATTTTAATATAAAAGCATGGCGGGTAATAAACTCAAGTTAAATAAATAACAGCTGGGAACTGAAGAAAATTGCATAGCTATTTCACATAATAACTGGTGCTTATGCTGTACAAGTCTAACAAGAGGAGCTATTGATGAGTGGGTCTTTGGCATGGAACGCTTTTGATGCAGTTTTAAGTAAAATTGCACAGTTTATAGTTATACAGCAGAAGGTACACTGTTAACCATAATTTTAACAAGAGGATCTTTATTAGCATACTTTTTTTTTTGCACAAGGGTGGTTATGTTTCACCTAAATTACCCTTCAGTTTAGACACTGAAGCAGATATCACAGTTGATCATGCAAATAAAAATCTTTTGAATCTTTAAAATATTCCCTCTACCTCCCCGCCACCCCCCTCCTTCCTGCATCAGGGTTAAGGGGCTAGAGACATTAAAAAAAAGAGAGGTTTCGGTAAGAGCTGGGATGCATTTTTCTCTCCTTAGGGTGTCTTTTTGAGGGTTTTTTTGTACTTTTTTCTTCTCATGTGAGTTTGGTGAATCAGACCAAAGCCCCTCTCACCACTATCAGCAATTCCATCTTTCTCCTGAAAAATCTCTGCTAATCAAGAAGAATCTTAGATGTATTTCAAAGCAAGAAAAGAAAAAGAAAAAGGGAAGGGAGGGAGGGAGGGAGGAAGGGGAAGGAAGGAAGGAAGGAAGGAAGGAAGGAAGGAAGGAAGGAAGGAAGGAAGGAAGGAAGGAAGGAAGGAAGGAGAAATAAATAAATTGTGGGACTGGCCAAGGAGTAACCAGACCCTGAAGCCATCTCATAAACTGACCCTGAAGCCAGTTTGCCAGAAGCGACACAGGCAAAGGTGTTGTCTCAGAGAACTTTGCCTAAAACAATGAGCAGAAATGACCTACACTTCTCCTTATATTAAATGGGGAAGGGGATTAAAACTGAAACCCACAGAGATATGTTTATTCATGCGACCTCTTACAACCAAATATAATAATTGTCTGTAATTGCAGCTTCGGCTCCCACCTCGTGCTTTGACACGGGGAAACAGCAATCAGCCCGCGCCCGTTTAATCCACCTATTATGTTGACTAATTAACTTTGCTCGACAGTTTATTTCTTCCTCCATTATCAGCCCCTGTCAGCCGCAAGCACCCCGCAGCATAGGGGAAACCTCGGGCTCTTTGATTGATCACCGATAGATTGACATGCAGATTAATTTAATTAGAATCACCTCACTTGAGAAATGAAAGACAATGGCAAGAGGGCTAATAGATCTGCTCTCATAATGAGGCGAGCCTCCCGAGCGAAGGCTGAGGATTTCTGATTTATTTTGCTCAATTCCCCAGTTGCTCGGAAAGACTCTCGCTTTAATTGTTCTTGGTTTTGAGAGGCATTAGCCTCTGAAGAGGTGAAATGCGCGCGTTACAAGGATTGGCACAGACCAGACGGAGGCCTCAGTTTCCGAGGGAGCCTTTTCTCTGAGTTGGCTAAAGAGGGCTCTGACTTCTGGAACCTTGTGCAACACGGCAGTTTCGACATTGGACTTGGGGCAGAGGGGAAAATGACGGGCCTTGGCCTGTGCCTGCTAATTGTCAGCGCTGCCTGGCAAAGCGCTCCCTTTGGGGACCCCCATTCCCACCAGCCTCACCATATTTAAAAGTTTCACTGTGTCCCCCCACCCCTAAGTGCCTCCTGGCAAAATATGGTGAATTCCCTTTCCCAGAGCCTCAAAAAGGTAACGAAATGCAAAAATGCATCGCTCATGGTAGTATCATGGGTTTATTTTATTTTCTGTTTCTGATGTATTAAAACGAAGAGTAAACGATTGAGAGTCCATTGGGGGATCTAGAGTATTCCCCTTGGCCATTGTGAAACGCGAAATTCCATCTAGAACAAGTCGTTCATGGGATGACAGGTAAGTTAGATGCAGCAGTTTGCCAAGTGGTTCTTCTCTTTCTTCATGACTGACCAACCAGATCACACACCGCCTGAGGCATCTGTGTTTGCCTCACCAATTGTAGGTTCATTTAAAAGAAGGAAGAGGAGGAGGGGGAAGAAGAGGAGAAGAAACTAGTCTGTTCTTTTATTTTCAAAAACTATCATGTGCAGTGGCAAAGTTAATATTATTTAAGGAAACAGAAACTCACTTTCTTTTTAGTTAGGGAGATGACTTCTTGGGACATTTGCAATTATATAACAGAGTTAGGTCTTTCAAAGAAATTTTGATTTACTACGAGACCACAATTGAGTGGTCACTGGAGTCGTTAGATGAAGAAACTATAAAAGGAATCTTAAACGGTATCTGTTTCCAGTGTCAGGAAATACAGAAAGTGGTTATTCTAGATCTCTGTCTTTAGAAGAAAAAAAAAAAATGACAATTCACAGTGCACCTGTAAGACACAAGCCCTACAGACCTAAAGCTGAAAATATTCAATCTGGTTTAAAGACGTTGTCACCTAATTCTTACATAGAACAAAAATGTCAAAAACGGTTAAGGAGGAAAGAAAACTATACCCTATATGTTTTTCCTTTCTTGGCAAGAGAAAAACAACTGGAGCCACATGTATGATAGAATTATAATATTTAATTGAAAGACCAATCAAAATCAGAGACAAGATAATACGGAGAACCCTCATGCCTTTAATTTCTAAAAAATAAACAGCTAATATTTTCCTCAAAACCTCACAGCACAACCTCCCCTATCGCAAAATAATTTTTCCCATTCCAATTTGGAAGTGATCAGGATATATTTAAATAAAACATATGCTGAAATTAATCCACAGAGCAACTTGAAAATTAAAAAAAAAATACCTTGTGAGGTGCAAAGGGAGTACTAAAGTGTCCTTTAAAAATAGGCCCATAGTCGGAGGGAAAAGGGCCTTTATAGTTCAACACAAGGTTAATAAGGTGCCGACATGTTCATACATGCAAGGGGACCACTAGGCCTGCCAAACCTTCAACCTTCCCAAACTTTGTCAATAAAACAGGGGTTGAATTTGAGACAGATAGACATGGAAAATGATTTTGCCTTTGGACTCAACCACCATTTCCCTCTTTATCTCCTTCTCACTCCCCAGCACAGAGAAAGAGATGATGGGAATACCAGGAATAGGTATATTGAGTATTTTATATCTTTTATAATGAGACCTTTACTTTCTAGAACTGCAGTATCCAATACGGTAGCCAAACGTGTGGGTATTTAAATTTAATCTGTATGAAATTTAAAATTCCCTTCCTGAGTCTCAGCAGCCACATTTCAAAGTGGCTCATAGCCCCAAGTGACTAATGGCTACCGTATTGGACAGGGCAAGCACCGAACATTTCCACCATCGCAGAATGTTCTATGGGGCGGCACTACTCTGGAATGGTTTCGAAATAAATTGTGCCAATTGATTCTTAAAGATACCCAAGTTATGTCTCCTGAAATAAATATCACAGGTTTAGGATTGTGTACCTATGTATATTTTTATCACTACATTTTTAGAGTCGAATTTCTGTTAGGTGGCTTTGCTTTTTTATATAAGAATCCAAAGACATGCTGATTAACAATCAGCAGTTACCCGGTACATTCTATCTGGGCTCTACCTTCCAGTCGGGACTACTTGGTATCAGGGAATAAGAAAAGCAGAAGAGAAGTTTCTAGCTACCCAAGGACTTTGGGGATTTTACACTGATGTTTTCAATTTTGGGGGGGCTCATGTCAGTGGTTCAGATCTGCTCTGTTATGTCTTTTCCTGGATCTAGATATCCCTAAAGTTCATTATTTTTACTGTCTAACCCCCCCCCCCAATTCAGAATCTGAAATAACTATATACAAAATTCATTATTCTTGGCTCCCAAGCTTTCCTAGCTAGTGTGACTTTGGCCAGGTTAACTTAACTTCTCTAAGCCCCAGTGTCCCTGACTCTCAAATGGGAACAACGATAGTACTTAATTCATAAGGTTACTGTGAGGCTTAAATGAAAGTGGCCAGCATGGTTCATATGGAACACTCAAACAACACTAGGAGCAATAGAGTAGTTGTCACGTTGTTAGCAATGTGAAACAAAAAGTTTCAAAGAATGTGTTGGGCTGATAATGTGAAGCATTTTGATGGTCTTAGAAAGGACCCAGAATACACTGTTATTTTAAATATTAGGATACAGAAAGTGTTTCTTCTATGTCCAATTTCTCAATGGAACGTCGAAATTTTAAAGACCTTTGTGCTTACAACACATCATGATACAACTTAGGCCTCTTGTGAGCTGCAGTTTTCACTGGTTTATGTAATTTTGCTTTCTAGAACCTATCTGCATCCTAGTCTGTGACGTTCCAGCTTGGAACTAAATGAAAACTCACTGCTTTGAAAATAGTCTATACATTAGACATCTTATCAGTTCTAGTCTAGAGTTCCCAATATTTCTCATCAGCAAGGGTTTCTTGGGAGGTTTGCTATGGGTTAGTACTTCCTTGCCATCATTTCTCAGTCTGTCCCCCTTCCCTTCATGTCAGGCAGGAGACCTTGTATGTCCTAACTATATTATCTAAGATTCATGAAGCAGAACCTCTGTCTCATGAGCAGATTTTCAAAAAGACACAAGCAGCTAAATTCAATCATGAGTGGAAGATCACATTAACAAAAGTAGCAGCTCATGGGAAAGAAGCAGTTATGACAAGAGCAACCAGAAGAGTTGAAATCGGTACCTCTAAGAATTTCTGCAACAAAGACGGAAATCAGAGCAAAGACCATAAACATATTTTCATTGTTTAAATTTAGAATATTTTGGCAGTAAGTACCTCCCTCCAAAAAATAACCACTTCCTCAGGTTAATGTTGAATAACTACTTAAAAAGTCTAAATCTTGGTTTTTGATGCTGATACATGATAAATCGGTAAAAGGAAATTAGTGATCAAGTTGGTCTGTTCCAGGCTTCCTTGCCTCTGGTTTTAGCTTGTTTTATGTTTGTATTAATTTAGGACCCCTGATTA